ATATATATATATATATATATATAGGGGTGGTAACAATATACCGGTATGATGGTCTACCACGATTTGAACGTGCACGATTATCATACCATGAACAATTGCATATCAACGGTTTTAACCCTTAAAGACAGAGACAGCCGCCCGCAGCTAAAAATAAGTATTGCTCTTAAATGTTTAATAACTTTTGATCCGCTGATCCGATTTATACAATTTATACAATACAATTTATACAATACGGACTTTCAGAGGCTCCGGAATCAGTGTGGTTACGTCATCAAAATTTGACAGCGCTGATTTGACAAAGAAACGCTCGTCACTGTGTCTCCGGACAAACCAGACATGATACATTGATGCATTGTCCCTCCTCCATGCCCAGATTGGTTCAAACTCGCTATATCACAACCAATAAGCATAGGTTTCACTTTTGTTTGTGGACCAACACTGAGCTTTTTGAACAACATGGAATGAGAGATAGGCATACATTTCTGCGCGGCTAAATAAAACGCAAAAAAAAGTTTTGCATGAAATAATTCTCATACTAAGTACTTTTGCATGCACAGCAGCACAGAAACATGACAAAACAGTGACACAGCAAAGACGAACTGCTGCTCTTGCTGTTTTCAAAAGACGCAAATGAAGGTGCAGCTGTTTGTCTGCATTGCAGGAACCACATCCAAATCCATATCCACAGACAACCATATCCATGCTGGCACATAAAACCTAAGGATGTTCCATATTGAATCTAGTTTCGTTATTTAACTATTTTTAGTATAGTAAATATTTATATCTATTTTTTTACTGAGGATTTGCACCATGTTTATTTGGACTTTATTTGGACTTTGACACATTATTTATTATTTTCTTATTTTTTTATTTGTTCATTGTAAGTGGTGTTGTTTATAGTAACTGAAAATATATTATTTGGAAAAAGTCAAATTTGCTTCACTGTTATATTATTTTGTAACATTTGTAACATACTGTATACCGCGAAACCGTCAAATCGTGATACTGTTTTAGACGATTATCATACCGTAAAAA